GAATGATTGTATTTTGTACCACAAAGCCAATAAAGACCTTCAAGAGTGTCCGACATGTGGAGTTTCTAGATGGAAACAACGCACAAATTCTTCAACAAGGATTACAACGGAGACAGAGATAACACAGAAGAAAATTACAGTCAAAGTGCTTCGACATTTTCTATTGGCTCCTAGATTGCGAAGATTATACATGAACAAGGAAACGGCAAAGAATATGAGGTGGCATAAGGATGATCGAGTAGACGATGGTAAATTGAGACATCCTACTGATGCTTTAGCTTGGAAGCATGTTGATAAAATTTATCCTCGTTTTGCAGAAGATTGTAGAAATGTAAGACTGGGTCTATCAAGCGACGGATTCAATCCATTTGGGGTAATGAGGTCTGGCTGGTCTACGTGGCCAGTTGTATTAATGCCATATAATTTACCTCCATTGCTTTGTATGAAACAGCCGTTTATGATACTTTCATTACTGATACCCGGTAAGCATGCTCCGGGAAATGATATTGATGTCTACTTAGAGCCTCTAATTGATGAGCTAAAACAATTATGGTCTGAGGGTATTTTAGCATATGATGCCCATTTAAAAGAGTCGTTTAGATTACGTGCTATTCTATTATGGACGATTAATGATTTTTCTACAAGATGCAAACAAGTTGAAGGATGATCTACGGGCGCACCAAGATCTGACTGCTTTGAATATCCGAAATGATTTGCAAGCTCAAGACGTTGGCCTTAAAAAATTAAAGTTGCCTCCGTCTCGTGTTACCATGTCAAATGAGCAGATGCAACGAGTTTGTAAAATTCTCAAATCGGTAAAGTCGCCGGATGGTTACTCTGCTAACATTTTAAATAATGTCCAGGTGCAAGAGAGAAAACTCTTAGGTCTGAAGACACATGAATATCACATTCTTCTCCATCAATTGCTCCCTGTTACAATCCGTAACAATATGGATAAAGAAGCGTCGAAGATTATTATTGAGTATTGTGGATTTTTCAGAAAATTATGCTCTAAAGTCATAGATGTAGATGACTTTAAGAAACTTGAAGCCGATGTCCGAGTTACTCTATGCAATATGGAAGTAATATTCCCTCCTTCATTTTTTACAATTATGGTCCATCTTACCCAGCATCTTGCAAGAGAGGCTAGAATCGCCGGTCATGTTACAAAGGTAATTTATGATTTTTATTATATTTATTAATTGTATACGCGTTTTTCAAATTACCGTGCTAATAATTAACTTTTATGATTATAAGATACTTGGGCTGCATGAAAAACAATGTTCGCAATCGAGCTCATCCCGAGGGCTCGATAGCTGAAGGATACGTGGCTAATGAATGCTTTGTGTTTGCATCACGTTACATGCGTAAGAAGAAAACCACATCTCAAGCACCTCAAAAGGAGAGGAAGTGTGAAAATTACCCGAGATCTCTCTTAGATCAAATTCATGCATTTGTGTTGGAAAACCTTGATATATTCGAAGACTATCGAAGGTAACAAATAAAATCTGTAATATAGATGAGAAATATTCATTTTACATATAGTTTATCAATACAAAGTTATATATTGTTTATATAGGCGACATCTGGAGAAGCTTAAGAATGAAACAACCGGTAGGAATGCAGCGCACAATATTCAGAAAAGACATAAGAAAGAATTTTCTGATTGGTTAAGATTTGATGTAAGTGTTTTACAATTAATTATTGAACATTCATAATATAACATCGCCTAAATATTCTCAAATTGTTTGTCTTAGGTTGAAAAATCACTTCTTGATGATACTACATTACCAGATGAAATTATTATCCATGCACAACGTCCTTATCACGAAATGAGACGTTATAATGAGCATTTGGTGAATGGATATAAATTTCAAACGTTAGAGACCGATGATAGGAGGGTAACTCAGAACAGTGGGGTCATGGGCTTGTTTGCTCAAGAATGTTTTTTAAGTATAAGAGATCAGAATCCAATTCCAGCTGACATATTATATTATGGCCAATTAGAAGATATCGTTGAGGTAATTTATGGGTTTGGTAAACCAAAACAATGTACTTACACGATGTTCAAGGTTCGGTGGTGTCCTGCAAAAAAGCAAAAGGATCATTATGGATTTACACTAGTCAATCTTCACCGAGAAGTATATACGGATGAGAAATTCATTTTCGCAGAACAAGCTGATCAATGCTTCTATGTGAAAGATCCAAATGTCATGTCTGATTAGGTGGTTTACAAGGAGCCAAGATCTGTTGTTCTTCCTAATAACAATGAAAAAAATATTGAAGAAAGTGAAGATAATTATAGTGAACCAATCGGTTCATCTGATGATGTTTGGCAAGAATTCTCTTACGCACAGAATGTGGCGCTGGATGTAGGTATGAACTATATATGTTACACCACATTATCGATTTTTATCTTATCATAATAAAATAATAATGCATTTTCATAACAACATATCTCATGAGCATGTATACAATTTTTTCTTAACGATTGTCTTTATTATATTTGCAGATGAGGAGGAGGATGAGGAGGCTCTTTGACCTGGAGGGTGATCGCTCACGGAGTATCACCCCAGGTAGTGGTGCTGATGATCCACTACCATCTCCGGATGCAGGTATAAAAATTAATTAATACTTTAACATGTTTTATAAAGTTTTAGTTATCTAGCTCATAGTGTTCATTTGTTGTAGATGCTGGATATTCATCACCCGGCCCCTCTGATGCAGCACCAGAACCATCCCCCGACGCAGCACCAGAACCATCCCCCGACGCAGGTATTAAATATTTAATAATTGATAATGTTCAATTAAAATTTAATATTAATGATTCTTCTTTCTTATGTAGGTGCTACTTGGACCCCGACATATCCATCATATACATTCCATACTGACTTACGGCCAAAGACCCAAGACTTTCTCAGTTTACCTTTACCTCCGGACTCTCATAAGTCCAAGGCTGAATCAAGGAAGTACCACCCACGTGCTGCGAGAAAGTTACAGGAAATGCTTCCTATGTTGGAGACTAGGAAAGCTGATGCACTCGCAGCAAAAGAAAGAGAGATAGCGAATGGTAAATTATATAAATACTTTTAATTTTCACATTTGTATATTATATGATATATTATCATGTTGTCATTATTGTAGGTGCTAAGAAGGATCGCATAGAGGGACGACGTGGCGGAGGTAAGCCTGATTCTAAACAACCGCCAAGAGGAATGAAGGGCATTATTAGGTGGAATAGTTCTAATTTGCCCGTTGGTCCTTGGTCAACCCGATTGAATGCATATATTGGGGTTCTCATGCGTAGAGCGACCATTATCAACCCTTATTTTCATTTTCGAGAATTACCATGGACCGCATACGAGGCGATATGGACTGCGCTTATGGTAAGTGCATATTGTTTTAGATTTTCATTTATTAATAATTAGTAATTGATATTAAATTATCCTTACTAAATGTGTATGTAAATCTACAGGACTGCTTCTGCCTTGAGGACTTTGAGGGGGCTTGGAATTATGTGTTTAATGTCAAGGTTGAAGCAGTCCTCAAACAATGGAGGCATGAGATCAAACATGAAACCTATGACAGGTATGAGGAGGACTGGCAGAGGTTTTTAAACCTCGATGACCGAGTTGACGAGATTCATTTCACAGCTCTCCTCATGTATTGGGACAGCGATGCCTCCAAGGTTAGTTTCATGAAAATTACTTTATACTTTTAAGATATTAATTTATTGCATATTTGCTAATTTTTTTCACACTCCTACGCCAATCTGGAGGATGTTTATTGTCAAGATATGGTATATGTCATTTAAAGATTTAAAAGATCTTAATGTTTAGTATGATTATGAAATCTCATAATTTATAATATGACAGGGGAAATCATTAATGCCGATACACTTGAGGGCCAGAGCGGCATATGGTACTTTTCGTGAACAATATAGGGGTGATGAGAGGAATCGGGATAAGATCACAAAAAATCTCGAGTTAGTGGTGAGATTTATACATATCTTGAGTAGTATTATTAATTCTATTTTGTTAACATTACGAGGAAACGAGAACACAAATAATATGGTCATTATCTTGAATTAACTATAAATTTGTGCTTTAGGAGGGATTTGAGACCGCATCCAAGGAGGCTGCATCTGTCTACATTTCGCAGGAGGAGGAACAAACCGCGCCAGACCCTCACATGCTTTCTGCAGAGGAGAACATCAATCTCACACAGAACCTGATGGGTCATAATAGGTAAGGATTGTGAAAAATCGAATCAATTTGAATACTACATACTATTTATATTTGTTTACCATTATTGAATTTGAGAGCAAAGTTTAATATTTATTTCTCCCTAATAATAGGAGAGGAAGATATCCTCTACATGGTGTCGGAGCTTCACCTGGTATAAGCATCAGATCGTCCACAGCATCCTCCACACCATCTACATCGACGAGAGCAGCCACAAGCAGTTTCCAGGCTATGCCATTTGTCGCACGTATCTCTGCCTTCTTGATTGACAAAATTGACCCGGAGCTGCATATTCAGGTGACTAATGAGATGACTAGAGTTGCGCTGACGGCGAACTCGATGGACGATCTCATGGGGTATGTTATACAATATTTAAGCGGTGCGATTCCTTATAGCGCGTATGGTGGTATCATACGGATCATTAGCTCGATTGGCGATAATTCCGGCGCTAGACAGAGTAGTGCTCAGGTACCTTATTTTTTCTTATATTTATAAATTCATTTTTATCTAATATGTTATCAAACACCACATAATGATTATTCAATTAAACATTCAGAGTGGAGATATTGGAGGGAGCAGCACCCGTTCTCGTAATTGGGATAGTGATACCCCCGCCGACGACGATGGATGAGGTTTTTTTTATTTTTAATGCAATAAACAGTTTTATTTGTTATAACACTACATTTATTCATGTCGTGTATCATATCTTAGTCATGTGTATTTTTAGTATATATGTTGTTGGATGTATATATTAGACGAAACTAGTTGATGTATATTTTGAAGTGGATGGTTGGATTTGTACAATGTGTTGGATTTGGTTATATAGATGTTTTTGAATGGAATTGTTATGAATTTTGATTATGATTGGATGGTTGAATGTGGCGTGTACAGTATTTTCTGGATGTATTCAAATATTAATATAATTGTACAGGGAAATACAAATTTTAATTAATTTTTTTCCCTGCAAAAAAGCAATCTAGACGGAATTCCGTCTAGATTGAGTCAACCTAGACGGAAATTCCGTCTAGGTTGTAAAAAACCAACCTAGACGGAATTTTCGTCTAGGTTGACAGACCAGACGGAATTCCGTCTGGTCCGTCAACCTAGACGGAATTTTTATTCCGTCTAGGTTGACTTCCGTCTAGATTGATCAACCTAGACGGAATTCCGTCTAGTTTGCATCAATCTAGACGGAAGCAAAATAAACCACCCAAACTAGACGGAATTCCGTCTAGATGACCTAATCTAGACGGAATTTCAATCAACCTAGACGGAAATTTCCGTCTAGGTTGATCGTTTTTCTAGAAAATGAAGTAGGTAACTTATTCCACATTGTTCCTGAAAGTTACCACAGGATCTTTAGTGCAGTCCTACCAATCACATGGTAGATAATAAATTGGAGCAATACACGTTGAAATTAAAAGAGAACTTCAGAAAATCAACTGAAAAACTTTACAGACAGTTTTAATTTTCTCATCCTCCAGCTCATAACAGGTCGAAAAGCATGTATTTAGTAGTCAGAAAGTAATATCACAAATTTTATATTTAAGTGAGCTAGTAAGAGCTAGACTGTTATAAGTAAGAAATCATTTTTGGAGGTTGAGTACTAGAGGGAAGTAAAATTATAGTAGATGCATTAACCAACTCGTTGATTTGCAATGAAAATCTATGCGCCATCTAGAAGATAGGAATTGAGAAGCTGACAAAAATATAAGTTTTCCATGCAGATTTTACATGTGTTGTCTCTTTTACTCTTTGCCTGTTTAAGTGATTTGCCAGACTATAAAGGGAAGTAACCTGTTACACAGGTATAATAATTAATCTAGTTTAGAGTTGCTTCGTTTCAGCATGCTACTACATTCCCTACTACATTCCCTAGACATTATATAAGACGAGAAGAGCTATTTCTTTAAGTTTTATATTACAGTTGACTCATGCATAGTTAGAAATTTTATAACGAGGTCACATACTTGTTCCTTCAAACGTCTTCTGCAACTAATAGTAGTAAAACAGTGTACTATATCCCAGTCTCACTGCACACAAATAATAAACTAGGTCTTTTAAAGTAGCTAGATTACTGAGGTGAGGCACTTATGTTGTCCTTCTTGTTTTGATGATGATTTAACAAATAATTTACATCTAATATTGTTTGTCTAGTGTTTGTATTTTTTTATTTATTATAGACAAACAATATGTTGGAGGATGGATGGAATCGCGCATTCACGATCATATCCAATGGAGGTTGGCGGAATTATGGAGTGAAGCCTACGCAATTCAAACTTAAAGATTCAAGTTCAAGGTTCATCTGCAAGTATACCAAGATTGAGCTTCGTTGAAGATCACAAGCTTTGGTAAATTTAATTTTAGGTGTTATATTATGTGTGTTGGTACTTTAAGCTCAATATAATATGCACACACATTTTATTGGTTTCTTTGTATATATATATAGTTATATATATATATATATATATATAACTATATATATATATGTATATATATATATATATATACATAAGTTAAGTTTTGGTTTATATGTATATTTTTTTTTTGGTCAATGAAAAAATTATATTCATAACCAAATATGAAAGATAAGTACAACAATTGCTCAGATAGAATCTAAGCGATCAAAATCAATCAACAGAACATCTCAAAAATCAAAAAATGCGACCACACTAAGAGGAAGTCACATTTCAGATTTATCTAGCTTATGGATTGTTGAGAATGGTGATCCAAACATCAGTTTTAATCTCTCTAACCAGTTGTGATGTGCTCCTGCATTTTTGTTGGAAGATTCTAACATTGCGTTCCCTCCAAATGTAATAAATAGTTGCTGTTAGTGCCAAATTCTTGAGTTGCAGCTTAAGCCCCTTCCCTCGCTGTCTGACAGTGAACTGCTCTAGAACATGATGCCAGTAACAGGTACGCCAATTAAAATCCATCCAATCCATGATACTATTCCATACTTCGCAAGAGAATGCACTCTCAAAGAACAAGTGGTTCCTGGATTCACTGCAAGCACCATCGCATAGGCTACACAGGTTAGAATCTATGATTCCTCACCTATATAACCTGTCCTTTGTTAGAAGTCTGTCTTGAAAAACTATCCAGCTTATGAATGAGTGTTTAGGTATATTTAATCTTCCCCAAACAACTTTGGACCATTGCACTTCATTCGCTGATTGTAAGAGAGCATTATATATGGCAGAAATTCTGAGATTTGAGTTTTTACAGCAGGAACTGATCAACAACTTCAGATTGTTTTCACCACCACATAAAGTCATAGCTTTATCTCTTGTTCTAATCAACTGTTTCCACATCCAGGAATCACTAGGCTTTGCAACCACTAGCCAAATGTTTGAATGTTTTAAATAATTTTCATGAATCCATTTAATCCAAAGGGATTCTTTGTTAATGTGAATGTTCCAGATGCACTTGATGGCTGAAGCAATATTCCAGTTGAGGGCAGAAAATATCCCCAGACCTCCTTGATCCTTGCTCATGCACACCCTTTCCCATGAGACAAGAGAAGCTTTAAAAGATTGATCAAAATTACCCCATAGGAACTTTCTGCAAAGCTCATCTATTCTTTTAAGAACTCTGACAGGCAAAATGTAGTTTGAAGTCCAAAATATTTGGACTCCAAGGATAACACTTTTGATGATCTGCAGCCTGCCAGCATAGGAAAGTTTCCTATGTTTTAACCAATTCTGAAACTGACCAGTTATCTTTGAAAATAATAAACTGCAGTGAACCCCTAGATACCTGATCGGCAATGTACCAGAAGAGAATCCCAGCAGATTGTGAAGAGAATTTTTGGTATTTTCATCCACACCACCATAGTAGATAGAGCTTTTCTGTATATTTGCCTCCAAACCTGAAACGGAACTGAACTCCTTGAAACAATGATAGAGCTTGGACACAGAGTAGAAATCACCTTTAGAGAATAGGAGCAAATCAACAGTAAAAATGAGGTGAGATATTTTGAGTTTTGCACACTTGGGATGGTATTTGAATTTCCTATCCTTTTCTAAGAGACTCAAGCTCCTAGATAGATATTCCATGCCTAATATGAACAGATAAGGTGATAGTGGATCTCCCTGTCTGAGCCCCCTTTGACCTTTGAAATATCCATGTAATGATCCATTTAGAGAAATAGAGTATTTGGGGGATGTGATGCATTCCATTATCCAATTTACCATGACTGGAGGGAAATTCATCCCTCTAAGCATATCTGATATAAATCCCCAGCTGATTGAGTCAAAGGCCTTTTTTATATCAATATTTAACATCACCCTTGAAGATAACAACTTCCTACTGTAACTTTTTACTAGTTCATGGGCAAGCATAATGTTATTTGAGATCAACCTACCCTTCACAAAAGCACATTGAGCACCATTAACCAGACACCCCATCATTTCCTTGATCCTGTTAGCTAGAATTTTAGTGATGAATTTGTAAATGCTATTGCAACATGAAATGGGTCTGTAATCTGAAGGAACTTTAGGGCACTGCACTTTAGGTATAAGAGTAATGGAGGTTGAATTAACCGTGCCTAAAAGTCTTCCGGTCCTGAAAAAATCTTCAATGGCCAATGTAACCTCATCCCCTATGATGTCCCAAGCAGCTTTAAAGAAAGACACATTAAACCCATCAGGTCCAGGTGCCTTAAACTCTGACATGGAGAATATTGCCGCTTTGATTTCTTCTTTAGTGACTGGTCTAGATAGGTAATTTGCTTGAGTTTCATTTAAACAATACCCAGACTTGATGATATTCATGTCAGGAGGAGCAGTGTCTAAAGCAGTACCCATTAAGATTTTATAAAAAGCCACCAATTCATCAACTATGCCATCACCATCAGTAATCTTATCACCTCTGCTGTTGTATAGAACCACAATTCTGTTATGGTGCCTTTTTGTTTTAGCCAAAGCATGAAAGAAACTGGAGCACCTATCACCTTGCAAATTCCAATTAATCCTAGCTTTTTGCTGGAAGAATGAAAGTTCACAATCCATAAGCCTGTTAAGAGTAACCAGACATTCTTTCTCTTGTTTAATAAGAACAGGATCAAAGGGGGAGTTTTGAAGATTTTCCTGAACATTCTCCAGAGCAATTCTGGCCCTTTGGACTTGCTCACTAATGTTATGGAAATGTTTCTTATTTAATCCCTTAAGAGCAATCTTCAGCATTTTCAGTTTAGAGTACACTGAATACATAGTGAATCCCTTAATTTTTCCTTGCCAGACATTAGAAACTGTGGTAGAGAAACTTTGATGCTTAATCCACATATTGAAAAACTTGAAAGGTTTTTTACCCTGTATCTGATCATCATATATAGAGACAAGAGCTGGAGAATGATCTGAACAATTTGGGAGAAGAAATTCCACATGGCTAGAGTTGAATAAATGAATCCAAGCATCATTAACCAAAGCCCTATCAAGCCTACACCAAACTCTAGAATCAGAGCTTTGCTTGTTATTCCAAGTGTAGAAACAGCCTGAGGTCTTGAGATGATTGAGATTACAATTAGCAATAAAATCCCTGAAGTCACATGTATCAGCCTTAGTTAATGCAGATCCTCCAAGCTTTTCATCACAGTTAATCATAGTATTAAAATCCCCACATAGTAGC